GTCAAGAGCGCACCTGGCTGGCCAGAACTGCTTCTTCATTAGCCCCTGTTCCACAATTTCATTCCAGAACCACGGGAACTTGTTTTCCCGAAGAGCCAGGCGGAGCAGGTCCAGAGCCACAGCGGGCAGTTTGCGCTCCTTCTTCACAGAGTTGGCGGCCGTCTTCAGCACAGTCACCAGTCTGTGGAGGGCAGAGGGGACTCAGGTGGCATCCACCGAGCAGACAAGGGAAGCAGGGACACCCCAGGCCATACTGCAAATCCATGAATGGCAGCCCCTTGGCCCCAGGAACCCGCCCTCCTCCCTCACACCTGGGGATGTTCTCATCCGACAATAGGTTGACCGGTCCCATGAGCTTCTCCAGCTGCCTGGGCACCTTCTGCTGGGCCAAGAGGAAGATCTCCAGGTGCTCAGGGGAGCCAAGTATTGAATTCAAGTCGGGCTTGAGAACCTTCGGCAGGACCTCCTGCCACATGGCCTCTGGGACCTGGGATGGGGAGACAGGTTGAGGGAGGGTGGCTCCTTCGAGGGCCTTGGTATAGTGCAATCTTAGGTGTGGGAGAAACAATCCCCCCTGCTAGGAATCAGAAGATATCTGTTAAAAAGCTCCCATTTCCAAGTCTCAGGAAGCTGTTTTTAAAACATATTTCTTTATTGTTTCAGAGAGGAAGGGAGAGGGAGAGAGAGAAACATCAATGATGAGAATCACTGAGTGGCTGCCTCCTGTATACCCCATACTGGGGATCAAGCCCATACAACCCAGGCATGTGCCCTTGGCCAGAATCGAACCTGGGACCCTTCAGTCAGATGCTCTATCCACTGAGCCAAACCGGCTAGGGCAGGAAGCTGGGTTTTTAATAAGCACCCCACTGATGCCAACTGGTCAGGGGTCACCATTTTTATTATTCCTCTTTTGAGTTTTTCAGGACCAGCCCATTTCTTTCTTTCTTTCTTTTTTTTTAAAATATATATTTTATTGCTTTTTTACAGAGAGTAGGAAAGAGGGATATAGAGTTAGAAACATCGATGAGAGAGAATCATCGATCAGCTGTCTCTTGGGTGTGCCCGCAACCAATGTACATGCCCTTGACTGGAATCGAACCTGGGACCTTTCAGTCCACAAGCCGATGCTCTATCCACTGAGCCAAACCGGTTTTGGCAGGACTAGCCCATTTCTTATATAAAGAACCACAAGTGGAGAGCTGGGGTTCAAATTCAGATCCTCTGGTTCTGCAGCTAGAGCCGTGCAAAAAGCTGGGGCCCAGGATTTTGCTGTCCTTGCCTTTTCCCCTGTTGCAAAAAGTCCCAGGTATTAGCCTATCTCCATTTTCCAAGTAGGGAAGTGGGGAGAGGGGTCCCCCCTGAGGGGCCAGTTTTGTTCCAAAACAGCAGCAATCATGTTTAAATTATACTTGCAACATGCCAGGTGCCGTTCTAGTAACTACACTGTCCAATATGGCAGCCACTGGCTACAAGTGGCTACTGAGCACCTGGGATATGCTAATCTGAATAGAGACTTGCTCTAATTGCACAATATACACTGCTTTCAAAAACTTAGCATGACAAAAAGAATGTGAAGTACTTGTACAACTTTTTGTAGATTGTATTGATTGCATGTTGAAATAACACTAGGTTGTTATTTAGGCAACCTAATAGATATATTGGGTCAGTGGTCGGCAAACTGCGGCTTGTGAGCCACAAGTGGTCCTTTGGCCCCTTGAGCGAGGCTTCCACAAAATATCTGTGCGATTGAAACGTACAGTGCAATTGAAACTTCGTGGCCCATTCGCAGAAGTCGGTTTTCTGCTCTCAAGAGAAATTTCAATTGTTGTACTATTGATATTCGGCTCTGTTGACTAATGAGTGTGCAGACCACTGTATGAGGTTAATTAAGTATGCCATTAAGTATCCTAGTTTTTTTTTTGTGTGTGTGTGTTTTTTTTTAAATATAGTTACTAAGTGTCAGTTACACATTTTTGTATTTCTCCGTCAGTTAACATTAACTCCTGTCTTCTCCATGTTCCTACAAAGAGTAGCGCTACCCTAGGTCCCACACCCCATAAACCCGTACCTCAGAGAGGATGTCCACCAGGGCCTTCTGGGGCTGCTCCTGCAAGTGGTTGTAGTACTGGGCCAGGACCTGCAGTAGCTTCACGGACTTCAGCAGTGCCTCTGGGTCCTGGTGCCCACCAAAGGGTAGAGGGTATGAGCAGAATGTGCCGCTGTCACCCAACACTCCCCAGCCAGTCCCCGTGATCCCGTTCCCCCAAAGCTTTTACCTTCACCAGCCGGCCCGACTGAAAGAGGGCTAGCACCCCAAACAGGTTTGCAAAAAGAGCAGGTCTCTTCATCACCTACAAAAGGATTCAGGCATGGGTGAGAAGGCCCCAAGTATCCCCCGACCCAGGACCGCTGACCTCCCTGGGAACACTCATTCTCACCTTCTTAACTGTCTGCAGGTCATGTTTCTCTTGTATCTGCTGCAGGATGCTGCACAAAGGGATGTCTTCGAAAGACTGTAACAACTGCCAGGGGTTGTGTGGCAGGAGGGAGAGGGCTCAGAGGGGTGGCCCAGCCGCATCCCAACAGATCTCAACCTCCCCCTGCTTATCCCCGCTTGAACCCTAAGGATGCCTCTGAAGCTCCCACCAATCATGGAGTCTGCGGCCGGAGTGGAGCTGAATCTCGCCTCCCTGCCCCATGCCTACCCAGGTTGGAGAAAGTACCTCCTTTGGCTACTAGGTTCTCAGACACTCTATCCCCACAGCCTGCTCGGAGCTCCCCTCAGGCTGATCCTAAAGGAATGATCTTTATTGCGCTTCCAGCTCTTAAATTCCTCAGAATTAGCCGGCCTATAATCTGCTGAGTGGCACTTGGGATTAGAGGGTCCTAGACTTTGCAGAGCTAAGTGAACCCATTCCAAAGCTTACTGCCCCCAGTCAAATGCACCTCAGAAGTCGGTCAATCCATGTACCAAAAAGAAAACTGCTCAACCACCTGTCAGGGCTTCTCTGCAGACACTTTCTCCACCTCCACGTGGGGACGCCTCCCATCAGCTCAGATGTCACCCACCCCAACTTCTCCCTCCGAAGACCAATGACTGACTCCTTCCCTGCAACTGAGACATCTGCCCTCCTCACTCCCCACCACGGCTGGTCCCCTTCCACGAGCCCCCATCTCACCTGGGCCAAGGCCAGACTGTAGCAGGGCCGCGCGGTTTCTCGCCCCATTCCGAGCCCAGCGATCAGGCGCTTCTGGGCGTACTTCATCTCGGACCCCTGCGGAACCAGCGCATTCCAGGGTCGACCGCTCCCAAGAATCGCCCCGCGCCCGCCTCCCCCTTCCCTCCTCCGCCCTTAGGCCCGCGCTCACCTGGGCGTCTAGGTTCGCGAACACGTGCCCCCAACCCCCAACCCCACTCTGCTGAGAGCCTCGCAGCCCTGTCCCAGGCCCCGCCGCCATACCTCCGGTCTCGCGCGCAGATACTCCAGCAACTTCTCCGTGGCTTCAAGCCGCGTCTCCTGCTGCGGCTTCGCAATGTCCCAGAAGAAGTCCAGGAACTCGCGGCTGTGCTGCAGCAGGCCCTGGCGGTCGACAGGCCGAGCGCCGCCCTTGGCCGCCTCTCCGGGAGCCATAGCCGCGGCCCTGTCCCGCTTCTCCATCTCCAACGCCACCATGCTCCGCGAACACGTGGTCTGCGGGGCAGCCTCTTCCGGGTCAGGTCGCGGCGCGTGCGCTCTGGGTTGTGTCATCTGGGGAAGGCGGAGCCGGGCGGGGGGGCGGAGCCCGGAGGAGGTGGGCGGGGCCGGGGATCTGGGCGGGGCCGTCAGGCCCTCTCGCTCTCACACCAGGAGATGATGAGTGTGATGGTTCGTTAGAGGGCTTTATGGAGGGGCAGGTCTTGATTCTGTTTACACTTTAAAAAGATTATACTGCAGCTGTATGGGGAGGTGGGGGGAGTGAAGAGGTAGAAGCAGAAAGAGCAGACAATGGTGGATTGGGTCAAGGCAGTATGAGAACAAGTCGGAGTCCAGCTAATTTGGAACTGGTAGTGGGTGATGGATGTGGGGTGGAGTGGTGGGGGGAGGAAAGAGATAGATGCCAGATTTAGGGCTAACATGAGTGGGTAGATTGTGCTACCATTTACTGAGCAGGGGAAGAATTTTCTTTCTAAGCAAGGGTGGGAGGCTGATTGAGGCGGTAGGATCGAGAGTTCTATTACATCAGAGGTGACTTTTACATTGTGTATATATATGGAGGTGCTACTGGTCACCCTGTTTGTTGACTTGAGAAGCTGTCTTTGGAGGGTGTAGTCCAGAGAGACCCCAGCCCTGAGGGAGGTGGGGTGGTCAGGGCCCAACCTGGCATTTAAATGTCATACATCCAGCTTTTTGTACCCAGGCCCTGGGGAACCTTCTACTCACTCTCTCAACCTCTTCCTCGCTCTGCTGTCTGTTTTAGGAAGTGAGATGAAGAGGTTTACCTTGTACATATGGCGCCCTAGGAGACAGGAGGTGAGCAGAGCAGGGGGAGCTGAAAGACATCAGCCCAGGCTCTGCCTCTCTGGGTGGGGTGCTTCTGGGGGAAGCCCTGACACAGGTACCTCAAAGACTTATGGGAAACTAACCATAAGAAGCAGGAATGGCACATGGCGTCCGTAGGACTTGATGTTTATTTTGTTTCCAGCCTCATTGAGGGACATCAACAGAGAATGGCCTGAAGGAGAGGATGGAGATGCCAGCAGTACCCCCGGCTCTGCCTGCCTTGCCCAGGAGGCCCAGAGCCTAGGCAGGCGCTTGGCATTCTTCCATCTCTCCTTCTCAGAGCTGGACCCCAACTCAGGGCTGGCCCCAGGCCCTGGTACTCTTTTCTTGTTATCCTCAGTTCCCTTAGCTGAGAAGAGCCAGTCCCAGTAACGGACCAGGCCAGAGTTTGAGCGCTTGAGCCAGCGGGGAGCACATACTCCATCATACTCTGTACACTCCATCTGTCCTGCCCCCTTAGAAGCCCTGGAAGGGGCAGCAGCCACTGGGTACGCTGGAGACGTGGGCGTGCTCTGCATGGGCTGCCACCTGGAGCATGGTTCCTTGGCCACAAACCCCGGAGTGCTCTGTTGGTCCTTGCTGGTGCTGGTGCTGGTGCTGGTGCTGGGCCTGGGTTTGGGACCCAGCCAGGTGGCTGAGCAGGGCGTGACTTGTGACTCTGGCTACAGCGGGGGTCCCTGAAGCCACCAGCCCCAACACATCGTCCTCTGTGCCATCTGGGCTGCCACGAAGAATGAGGGGGCAGGCCCAGGTACTAGTTGCGGACTTGTCCACCAGGTTGCTGAGTAGAACCCCAGTGCTTGGGGACAGGCGTCCAGAGCCGAAGGAGCTGTTGAGTGAGGAGATGAGAAGGAGCACAGAGCCGCTGCTGTCCACGGTGGCCAGGATGCTGCTCACGGGGGTCTCGTTAGCGTGTAGGGGTGGTGGGCAGGGCTCAGGGCTGGGTCCTCCAGGCTGCAGGGCTGCCTTCAGCAATGCCAGCAGCTCTGGGCCAGCTGAGGGGCTGGGTGTGGTGAACAGGATACCCTGGGCTGAAGGTAGCTGCAGTGCTGGCTCCAAGGTGGGCATAGGCTCAGCTGAAGGTGCCTCCAGCCCCAGGTCTTGGGCCAGCAGACTCAGTAGAGCATCCTCAGCAAAGTCTGCTGCCCTGCGTAGCACGGCTGCCAGTTTTGGGTTGGTGGCACGGGCCCCTGGTCCCAGGGGGGTCCCGTCAGTGTGGCAAAGTAGTGGACAGAGGCCCTCTGTGCCCTGGGCTGCCAGAGCCCTGGCCAGGGGTGTGTCCACCAGGAAACCCTCTTGAGCCAGAGTGGTGGGGCCCACCAGCAGCCGTGGCCAGGGCAGGCGGCCGAAGCGTGTGTGCAGCAAGCGCAGGGCAGGCAGAGCCGAGGGCAGCCCCAGGCCGGGGACCAGGGCCTGGGCTGGGCCTGATGTCAGGGCAGTTGAATTGCCTGAGGAGCTATTGTGGAAGAGGCCCCAAAACATGGCACCTGGGGAAGACAAAGGGGTTACACGGGGTCAGCGCTACTCAGTCGCCCCAGTGAAGGGCTATACTGACTTGGCCTGGAGACCCACTTGGGGTCAAGGTCACACGAACCTAGAATCAAAAGTCCCAGCCTAGGGTTGGTTGGCCAAGTCCTAGTCCCGCTCACTAACCAGCTGTGAGGCCAGGGCCCCTGCCTGCCGGGGTGTCCGGGGCACCGATTGGGCCCAGGGTTGGGATCACTGGGGTTGTGGGTCACTGACCTAGCCCTGTGGTGTGAGGATGCACTACTGCCAGGCACAAAGCTGCTCCAACTCCGGCGTCCACGACGTTGCCCCCGGCAACGAGCAGCTCTTGGCCCAGGTCCGAGCACGGAGCTGCAGCAAGGAAGGGACGGTCATGGGAAGGGGCCGAGTGATCCTGGCCCTTCCCCTCCCCGAGCTGCTCTCCTCACTGACCTGCAGGGCTGATGATGGCGCCGTGGTGGTATACGCCAGGGCGGTGGGAGTGCCCGCCGGGGGGAGGGGCCCCGGAGCCCGAGGTTCCGGTAGAGCTAGCCCTGGTGTGGAGTTGCCACGCGGCCAGGGAGAAGCCAACGGCCAGCAGCAGCAGGGCGGCCACTAGCTGAGCCCAGGCCCCGGGCCGAGCACCGACTTTCTTCCTGCAGAGAGGTTGTCCTGAGCCAGGGCTGAGACCGCAGCCTCCTGGGGCCCCAAGAAAACCCAGGGAATGTTTCCCCCAAAATTGACCTTGCTTGCAAGAGGAGTGTAAGTTTGCCAAGGAGCCGAAACCGGTTTGGCTTAATGGATAGAGCATCTGGCCTGTGGACTGAAGGGTCCCAGGTTCGATTCTGGTCAAGGGCAATGTACCTTGGTTGCGGCACATCCCCAGTAGGGGGTGTGTAAGAGGCAGCTGATGGCTGTTTCTAACTCTCTATCCCTCTCTCTTCCTCTCTGTAAAAAAATCAATAAAATATATATTTTTAAAAGAGTTTGCCAAGGAGAAGGGCTTCGGGCAGGTGGCCCAGCCTGGACAGAAACATGAAGACTGGGGAAACTGAGGACAGTGGGGGAGGGCGTCCCAGAGAGGAGGCTGGAGAGGCAGGGTGGAGCCGGTGAGGACTGCCTGACAGGAGCTTGGCAGGCGGAAGAGCGGGCCCCGCCAGGTGCAGCCAGGCCCCAACCTGCTCAGCAGGTGCCTCCTGCACCAGGGGGTGGGATGGGGAACCTCTGACAGAGCAGCCGGCAGGGCTGGCTTGGTACAAACGTCCCTTCAGACGCACAGACCGGGAATCGACTGGTTCAGGCCAGTCTCTGGGGCTGCAGCAAGGGTTCCTCCCAGTCAACCAGAAAGTTCCTGGAGCGGAGCCAAGCAGCAGGGGCCCCGGAGGGAGGGACACCACGGGCCTCAGTCTGGAACTGCCAGGTGCCCAGACCCCTCCCTGACTCACCCAGAGGAGTCCCGGGGCGCCCAGGGGCCCGGAACGAGCAGCTCCGCTATCTCCTCCTCTTCGTCCCCGGACTCCCAGCTCTGCTCCCAGAGCAGCAGCTTCCGATAGAGCACGGGCTCCGCTGTGGCTTCCATGGCCCCGGAGCCCGGCCCGCCGCCTGCCTGCCAGCCTTCCCAGCTGAGTCTCCACAGGCCCTGCCCCAGCCGGGCCCGTGGGAGGTGGAGGCAGCCTTGGGGAAGGGTGGCGCGGAATCTAGAACAGGTCTGGGCAGGTCACGGGCCAGGGAGGCCGCCTGTCCCAGTAGGGCACTGGGCCCTAGGGGCTCACAGGGCAGGGGACTCTGCGGGGGTTCGAGGGATGCCACTCAGGGAGGTTGGAGGAGCCCAGCCCTCGGGCCACAGCCATAGGCCCTGAGATCCAGGATGCTTGCTGGCTCCTGTTCAGGGGATGCAGCCCCGGAACCCCCAGGCCTGTTCAGAACGTTAATTCAGGGCATGGAGCTTGAACTGGGACTGCAGTTAACATCGTTGCTTGGATCGGGGCTCAGCACTTGACTAGGTTCTAAGTGGAGGGAGGTTCTAAATGGCCGGGTTCAAGGCTCAGCCTGAGGTTCCTCTAGGACAGCGGTCAGCAAACTCATTGGTCAACAGAGCCAAATATCAACAGTATGATTGAAATTGCTTTTGAAAGCCACATTTTTTTTAAACTTAAACTATATATAGCTAGGTACATTGTTATTAACTTAATTAGGGTATTCCTAAGCTGGCCTTTGCTAAAAACTCAAGGGGCCAAAGAGTCGCCTGTGGCTCGAGAGGCAGCAGTTTGCTGACCACTGCTCTAGGCTCTGGGGAGCAACTGGAGGTAGAGAAACAGTCATGTGGCTCTTGGCCAGCAGGTGGCGATACAGCCCCCCCCTCCCTCAGGGAGCCACAGCCTGGAAACCAGGTTAGCAAATTCCTTCACTCTGGGACTCACACCAAGTGTTCTGTGGCAAAAATCCCAGAATCCCAGAGTGCTACAGCCCAGGTTATGGACTCCTAGTCATCTCTCTGCTGACCATTCTGACCTCCTCAAACCCTCCCCCGCTCTCCTGCCTCAAACCCCGAACCCTGCGACTCCACACTTCAGTCTACCATCTTGCTTCCTACTTCACGTGGGCCAGTCAAGGCTGATCCACCCCCAACTACAAAGCCGCCTTCCACACTGCTCTCCCCTCCCTGCCCCTGGTTGAAGGCCCAGCCCTTCCGCTGCTTGCCTCCTACTTCCCCAGGGTCCCCACTCTCTTTGACCCTCCCCTTCTCTCCTGTAGCTTCACATCTTCTCTACCGGCTTCTTCCCAGCCACATTTACACAGGGCCGAGTCCTCGGAAATCCCTCTCCTGAGTATGTCCCCTACGGACATGTCCTAGAAGGTTCACAGCATCACTACCTGGAACGGCCCCACATTGGGAAGTGTCCACACGCCCATTCTCAGTGGAGAGAGTGGCATGATCCCTCTGGGATACTCTGCAGCAGTGGGGATGAGGGGTCTACGCCTGCCGTGTATGCCACAATACCGGCGATCTTACAAACACACCGGTGAGTGAAAAGGGCCAGGCACCAAAGGGTGCATGTCTTTTGCTTCCATTTACATAAAGTACAAGAACAGGCAAAACGAGTTCCTGCCATTAAAAGTCAGGTGGCGACAGAGGAGGCACGAGAGGGCTGCTGGGATTCGGGCGATGTTCTGTTTCTTAATCCGAGGTTGGCTACATGAGGGCGCTGACGGGGAAAATGCCTCCAGCTGTTCACTGATGACACATGCCCTTCTCTGGAGGTGTACTGTAAATTTCAGGAAAAAAACATTTTTATTTATTAAAAAAAATATATTTTATTGATTTTTTACAGAGAGGAAGGGAGAGGGATAGAGAGTTAGAAACATCAGTGAGAGAGAAACATCGATCAGCTGCCTCCTGCACGCTACCTACTGGGGATGTGCCTGGTACATGCCCTTGACTGGAATCGAACCTGGGATCCTTCAGTTCGCAGGCCGACGCTCTATCCACTGAGCCAAACCAGCCAGGGTGGAAAAAGCATTTTTAAAAGCTCGAGTAGTTTCTCCATTTAAGCAACCCCCACAGACATCACCCATTAACCCCACTTGGCTTTCTAGCCACGTCCCTTCCTCTGGGCCTCTTCACAAGCAGGCCGGGCTGATCCTCTGGCTTCGGTGTGCACTAGTCACCCAGGGAGCTTGTTAAACATGGGTGCTGGGCTCCATTCCCAGAGAGCCTGACTCTGTGGGCATGGAGCAGGGACCAGGAGTTTGGTTCCCTGACTCCCAGGTCATGCTGCTGCTGCCAGTCCTGGAACCACTCGGATCTACAGAAAATCGCCTGCACCTGCTGCTGTCTCCATTTCCTCCCCCCTCCCCCTGCCCCCGCAAACTGCTTTCCATCCCCAAAGCCCCAGAGAAACCTTTGGTTTCCAGATTTTCTGATTTTTTTTTTGACCAATAAAAAAACCAAAGGGAGCATAGGTTGTCACCTCTTCTTTTTGCCAAGGGTGGGATGGGGGAACACAGTTCCACTCCCTCTACTGAGAATGGGCGTGTGGACACTTTCCAATGTGGGCTGTTCCAGGTAGTGATGCTGTGAACATTCTAGGACATGTCTGTTGGGTACATACCCAGGAGAGGGATTTCTGAGGACTCAACACTGTTTTAATAAATTGCTCTTATTGCCGGGACTGGTTTGGCTCAGTGGATAGAGCGTCGGCTTGGGGACTGAAAGGTCCCGGGTTCGATTCCGGTTAAGGGCATGTACCTTGGTTGCGGGCACATCCCCAGTAGGGGGTGTGCAAGAGGCAGCTGATCAATGATTCTCTCTCATCAATGTTTCTAACTCTCTGTCCCTCTCAATTCCTCTCTGTGTAAAATCAATAAAATATATTTAAAAATAAATAAATAAATTGCTCTTATTAAAGTAATTTGATTCCACTTCCTGCTAACACAATGCGGGAATAATCTCAGAATGAAGGTCAGTCCTTGCTTCCTAAGAAAGGGTGGCTGGGAATCTAATACGCCTGTGCTACCCCGTCTCCTGCCCCGTCTTCAGTCTGACCTCTGGGCTCCAGCGTGGCTCCCTTTGTCCGGCAGACATGATGCTTTGGCCGCATGTCCAGCCCGTATTCCTCTGCCTCAGAGCTATGTCCCAATCAGCTCTTTGGGACCAAGGCCTCCATTATTGGGTCCTGGAGACCTTTCCCTTTATGGTTGTTCTCACTCCTGGAGCTCTGGACCTCGACAGCACTATCAGCTAAGCTTCAAGAGATGACTATCAGCCAAAACCGGTTTGGCTCAGTGGATAGAGTGTCGGCCTGCGGACTGAAGGGTCCCAGGTTCGGTTCTGGTCAAGGGCATGTACCTTGGTTGTGGGTGCATCCCCAGTGGGGGGTGTGTGTGTGCGGGAGGCATCAAATAAAATATATTTTATTTGTAAAAGAATCAATAATATATATATATATATTTAAAAAAAGAGATAACTATCAGCTAAGCTTCAATCAGACGCCAGGCAGGCTCTGGGGATGAATGGTGGTCAGGCTGAGACATCTTTCAGGCCAGATTTGCCCGGTCCCTTCCGCTGACTGTTCCACTCATCCTCTCTTCCGCTCAGACCTGCTGTGTGTGTTGACTTGACACTCCAATGCCGTCAGAAATGGCATTGGCTTTAGGACACCTGGGCTTCATCTAGTTTCTGCCACTGACTCACTCGGTGACGGCAGGCAAGTCATTTAACCTCTGGGAGCCCTGACTCCCATTCTGTGAAAACGTGTCTCACAGTATCTATCCTCCCAGGGTTATTGAGAGGATTCAACAAGGAAGTAGATTTAAAGCTTTTAGGCCACAGTCTGGGACAGAGTGGATCCTCCAAAACACATGAATTCCTTGCTCCTGTTCTATGGGCCTCAGTATCACAATGCTGAAATGATGTGGTAATCCCCACCTCTGCAACCTCTCTCTCTCTCTCTCTCTCTCTCTCTCTCTCTCTCTCTCTCTCACACACACACACACACACACACTCACAGGGTGGCTCTAAATCGGAAGTACAGAACTACAGATTCAGTCATGCCTTCATTTATTTCCCCATTTTAGCTTTCATTCATTCTCTTATCCTAATGGTCCTCACCACTCCTTCGTTCCCTTATCCTACTAGTTCTGCACATTAGAATCAACTAGGGAAATCCTCATACCCAGGCAGATCAATTAAATAATTAAGTCAGAATCTTTAGGTTGGCATTTCATTGAGATTTTCTTTTTGAACATATTTTTATTGATTTCAGAAAGGAAGGGAGAGGGAAAGAGATAGAAACAAATGATGGGAGAGAATCATTGACGGGCTGCCTCCTGCATGCCCCCTAATTGGGGAATCGAGCCTGCAGCCTGGGTGTGTATCCTTGACCAGAATAGAACCTAGGACTCTTCGGTCTGCAGGCTGACTCTCTATCCACTGAGCCAAACCGGCTGGAGCTCCCAGGGGTTTTCAATGTGCAGCCAAGGTTGTGAACTACTGCCTTCTCCAGGCTCCTAGTCCAGGGATTTCTGCAGCTGGAATCACTACCAGTGATTAAAACACACAACCAGTATGCGGTCCCTCCCTTGCCCCCAATCCCCACCAACGGCATCAGTATTTTTGAAGTGAGCCTCGATAGTTGTTAAAGCTCCCACGCAATTCGAAGGTGTAGGCAGGTTTGAGAATGGCTGCTTATGATAATACCCTCACAGGTGCATTTCTCAGGCATCCCCTGGCTACCTCTTCTGAGGGGCGTGTGCTGGGGGAGGGCAGAGAGGAGCTTGGGAGCAGCTAAGGGGTGGATGTCCCCTAGTCCACCAAGCACGTCCTCCAGCAGCCTGGCTGCTCCTTCCTACAGAAGGGCTCAGAGGCCAGCGGTCCGCTTTTGTCCGGTCCCTTCCGCTGACTGTCCCACTCACCCTCTCTTCGGCTCAGACCTGCTGTGTATGTTGACAAGTGGCCTCCTGGGCCATGCTGAGATTTGACTCTGATTACAGATTTGGAGACAATGAAGTGCCACCGTGGGGATCGAATAATTGTTTTTTCCTTGCAAGGTGACTCTGTGTGATGTGACCACAATATCG